GTGTGTGTGTGTGTGTACTGGTTTATATATTCTGGTGGGGACTTAAACCTGACTACACACAGACTCATGGGGACTCGTGTCACGGTGGGGACCTAAATTGTGGTCCCCATGGGTACAAACACTTATAAATCACACAGAATGGAGTGTATTGAAAATCTGAAATAGCAGAAAGTCTCCTGTGAGGGGTAGGTTTAGGGGTAGGGTTGGTGTAGGGCAATAGAATATACGGTCTGTACAGTATAAAAACCATTACGCCTATGGAGAGTCCCCATAAGGATAACTGACCAGACATGTGTGAGAGAGAGAGAGTGTGTGTGTGTGAGTGAGTCTTCTCTCACCTGCGATCCTGAGCGCTGCCTCCACATGTACTTGTTTGTTTTCTCCATACTGAGCCACACATTTATACACACCTGTGCTGCGCTGCTTCACCTGACTGATGTGCAGTGTGCCGTTAGCGTACACCACAAACCTGCCACACACACACACACGGTTAGTTACAGCAATAAACCACTGCAAGATCATCGTAAAATGTAATTAAATTAGTAAAATCACTGTAAATGTACAGAATTCAGCAACACGATACATTGTTAATTTTATTAATAACCAGAATATAAACAATTCTGCCACAAACGTGGTGTTGATTAGAGCAGTTTACTGTTGCTAAGTGACGCATGTGGGTCACGGGTGTGTGTTTAAGGCTTCAGACGCGGATCAGACACAATCTGTCTGATCAATCACAATCTAACGCTCAGATTCAGTCTAAGAGAAGCAAACGCCTGCAATCCCAGAATCCCCCGAGTGTGTTTACAGCTGAAGACGTGTTTGAACACTTTACAAGCTGACGAACAACTGAAAGCATGCGTCAGATGAGAGCAGAATCAAACACATTTACAGCACCAGACAGATTACACCGCAGATAATATCGATGTCAAACACAACTGATAAAGTCTCCCTCAATTACACGATGAGCAGCCTGTGAGCACTCCTGAATAATACTAATATTTTAAAATTAGACTTCACTTTGAATTTAAAGTTTTAGTAATTTTGTTGTTTTGTCATTTTTATTATTTTTTTAATGTCATTAAACATCTAAATGACGTCAATGGAAGGAAAATCCTTCATAATAAAGATTTAAAACATCTCATGAAATGCATGAAGCTCCTTTATTACAACAATTCAATAAAAACGGGCTGTAATGTTTCGGAGACGTCATGAGCATGAATCTGGAGAGATCTGCAGTGCGCCACAGTTTTAAAGTGTTGAGATTAGTGCAGGATGTTATTAGTGCATCAAAGCAGAACGTGCCCAAACATTCACTGGACTTCCCATGATGCACCAGTGATGGATCATTTATCTGTGGGTGGTCAGACCTTCTGAACAGCTTTACGTTCAACAGACTCACAGTCAATATAGTTTCTAATCATTTTTTTTTGGTTAAGATTAACATACATACATACATATAGTAAGTAAGTAAATGTTTAGTTTAGATTTTTTATACATTTTTAGCTTAGACATATTTTGTTTTCATTTTAATTAAAGTTTTAGCATTAGGAAACATTCAGCATGTGAAGCTTCTCACCGTGATTTGTTGAGGACGGGTTCTGCGTCGTGGAACCACTCGATCAGCGGCGGCGGCTTGGCTCTGAACTGACAGTGAAACACGGCCTCCTCATCACGCAGAACCACCTGATCCACCGGAGCCACCAGCACACGGGGAACAGACTCATCTGAACACAGAGAGAGAGAGAGAGAGAAGAGTCACGCTTGATCTGATGAATACACAGCATGAGACACACACACACACACACACACACTCATCTACATGCTGCCTTTCATTATTGCCAGTTGCTAACAGCACTGACAGCACCTGTCATGTGTCACGTGAACTTTGACCTTTAGCACACCTGGATCAGACCACATTCCACAGACAGAAACTCATCCGACCGTCCCTCCGGTTGATCCTTGTGCTCCTGCAGGACGTGATTCTATAAATCACCCTTTACTGATTTACAGTAACATTTACAAACATCATCACATTAAATAAACTTATTCATGAAACATAACTCACATAGTCATTTTAATGTGAATGCAATGAATATTTGAATCAAATACTTATCTTTTCAGCATTTTATGGTAATTTCATCAAGGTCATTTTGTGTTGATAATTTTCTAATCATTTAATCAAGTTAGTTTTGTGTTCAAATGTTCATTTTAAGTTTTGAACTTTTGAATCAATTATTCATGATCCAACATAACACTTGATAAAATTATTAATGACATTTATGTAGTCAATCACAGCTGATTTATCTGTGCATCTGTAATCATGTCACATTGTAGATCAGACAGACGCGCTCTGGGATCAGACAGACGCGCCCTCGGATCAGACAGACGCGCTCTATATCACAGACACGCTCTAGCATCAGACACACTGTAGATCAGACAGACGCGCCCTCAGATCAGACAGACGCGCCCTATATCAGACACACTGTAGATCAGACAGACGTGCTCTAGGTTCAGACAGACACGCTCTAGCATCAGACACACTGTAGATCAGACAGACATGCTCTAGGTTCAGACAGACACACTCTATATCAGACAGACGCGCTCTAGGATCAGACAGACGCGCTCTAGGTTCAGACAGACGCGCTCTAGGTTCAGACACACTGTAGATCAGACAGACACGCTCTAGGATCAGACAGACGCGCCCTCGGATCAGACAGATGCGCTCTATATCAGACAGACATGCTCTAGGTTCAGACAGACGCGCTCTAGGTTCAGACACACTGTAGATCAGACAGACGCGCTCTAGGATCAGACAGACGCGCCCTCGGATCAGACAGACGCGCCCTCGGATCAGACAGACGCGCTCTATATCAGACAGACGCGCTCTATATCAGACAGACGCGCTCCAGGATCAGACAGACGTGCTCTATATCAGTCAGACACGCTCTAGCATCAGACAGACACGCTCTAGCATCAGACAGACTGTAGATCAGACAGACGCGCCCTCGGATCAGACAGACGCGCCCTCAGACCAGACAGACGCGCCCTAGGATCAGACAGACGCGCCCTAGGATCAGACAGACACGCTCTAGCATCAGACACACTGTAGATCAGACATACTGTAGATCAGAGAGACGCGCTCTAGATCAGACATACTGTAGATCAGACAGACACGCTCTAGATCAGACACACTGTAGATCAGACAGATACGCTCTAGGATCAGACAGATACGCTCTAATATCAAACAGACACGCTCTAGCATCAGACACTCTAGATCAGACATACTGTAGATCAGAGAGACGCGCTCTAGATCTGACATACTGTAGATCATTCAGACACGCTCTAGCATCAGACACACTGTAGATCAGACAGACGTGCTCTAGGATCAGACAGATACGCTCTAATATCAAACAGACACGCTCTAGCATCAGCCATACTGTAGATCAGACAGACACTCTCTAGATCAGACATACTGTAGATCAGAGAGACGCGCTCTAGATCAGACATACTGTAGATCAGAGAGACGCGCTCTAGATCAGACATACTGTAGATCAGAGAGACGCGCTCTAGATCAGACATACTGTAGATCAGAGAGACGCGCTCTAGATCAGACATACTGTAGATCAGAGAGACGCGCTCTAGATCAGACATACTGTAGATCAGAGAGACGCGCTCTAGATCAGACATACTGTAGATCAGAGAGACGCGCTCTAGATCAGACATACTGTAGATCAGAGAGACGCGCTCTAGATCAGACATACTGTAGATCAGAGAGACGCGCTCTAGATCAGACATACTGTAGATCAGAGAGACGCGCTCTAGATCAGACATACTGTAGATCAGAGAGACGCGCTCTAGATCAGACATACTGTAGATCAGAGAGACGCGCTCTAGGTCAGACATACTGTAGATCAGACAGACGTGCTCTAGGATCAGACATACTGTAGATCAGAGAGACGCGCTCTAGGTCAGACATACTGTAGATCAGACAGACATGCTCTAGATCAGACAGACGTGCTCTAGGATCAGACAGATACGCTCTAATATCAAACAGACACGCTCTAGCATCAGACACACTGTAGATCAGACAGACACTCTAGATCAGACATACTGTAGATCAGACAGACACTCTAGATCAGACATACTGTAGATCAGAGAGACGCGCTCTAGGATCAGACAGACACTTTGTAGATCAGACAGACACTCTAGATCAGACATACTGTAGATCAGAGAGACGCGCTCTAGGATCAGACAGACACTTTGTAGATCAGACAGACACTCTAGATCAGACATACTGTAGATCAGAGAGACGCGCTCTAGGATCAGACAGACACTTTGTAGATCAGACAGACATGTTCAGGTCTGTCTGTGTGTGTAAACTCTCACTCTCACTGCCGCCCACTATTCTTCTGCTAAAGCTCTTTATCCTCGCTCCTCTCGCTCGCTCCTTTCATTTGTAATTTTCATGCTCTAGCTGATCTCTTTATTTTTCAGCAGAGCTTTTATTCTGTCTGCAGGTGTGTGCGTGAGCAGCACAGGTGGCTGATGGGCAGGCCGACCGAGGTGTTGGGTTACGCTTCAGACATTTCTGTTTAGCTGCGCACATGAGGTGAAAAACATTACAGAACACACACAATAAAAGCTGCATTCCTGGGCATCAATGACACGCTCATGCAGTCTACATAGACGACACGTCTTCTCACACATCTAAAAACTTAAACTAAACATGCTCACCCTGAAACTCTAATATAATCTAAAGGACAAATCTAATCTAGAAGAACCTGAGCTTGTGTCTGTTTACCTCTAATAATCTTACCGATGATATTGAGGGTGATGTTGTGGTTACTGCACACTTTTCCAGCAGCATTTTGAGCACAGCAGGAGTATATCCCAGAATCCCCTGTGCTGAGGTTGGTCAGCGTCAGGATCCGGTCCTTTCTGTCCAGCTGATCTCCATCTTTGAACCATTTACTGCTCGGCCTGCACAAGTCAGAAACATCTTTTCACACAGAATCAGCGACTGTCAGCAGAGCATGATCAGAAACACGTCTGTAACCTATAGAAGACCGTTTCTGCCATCTCACAATTCTGATTTTGCAAGATGAAAAAGTTAAGAGTAGCAAGATAAACACAGAATTGTGAAAAAGTCAGAATTGCAAAATATAAACTCAGAATTGTGAGATATAAAGTCGCAATTACCTTTTTCCATTTTTGTATTTCGTGTCATCAATAGTAATCTACATGATTCACTGTTCATATGGCATTATATTCCAGGTGTTCTGTGTAAGGATCAGACTCATCTTAACGGTCCAATCAGAGGCTGGACTCACCGTGGATGTCCATCAATATGACACTGCAGCACGATTCGCTCAGCCTCCTCTAGCTCCGCCTCTGAGGCGGGTTCATTCATGGTGACCGGCCCCCTCTCCAGCCCTGAGGACACACAATAACATCCACACCCATCACTAGAATAAAAAACAAACTCTGTATCTCCATTTTTTTCAACCAAAAAAAAAAAAAATCTAGAAATAAATCTGTTCAGTAGCTGTGATTATAATTTTGAGCAAAGTAATTGTGCATTAATTGTTAACCATTATGCAGCATGACTAAAATTAGACTTTAGTCAAATACCCTTTTTAACATTTTATGTTTTATGTTAAATAAAGATTTAGTTGACTAAAAATGTAAGTCAATGAGAACTTTTTAAAGAACTATGACTAAATTAAAAAACAGCTGACAAAATGAACAATTTGAAATGAAAACCATTCAAATAAATATAAATGTATGTTATCTTTGGTCTGTTTTCAATTAGGATATGTGCAGATGTTTTCTGAGAGCTGTTAGGATCAAATCCTGTCAAGAACATGTTTTCTTGGCCTCTCTGCTCGTGTGTTTCATTATTTTGCCCTGTTAAAGAGGTCATACGATGCGATTCCAATCGTTCCTTTCTCTTTGGAGTGTTACAAGCTCTTGGTGCATAAAGAAGATCTGTAAAGTTGCAAAGACTAAAGTCTCAAATCCAAAGAGATATTCTTTATAAAAGTTAAGACGGCTAAAACGGCTCGTTCTAACACGCCCCCACATGTCTACCTCACTATGTGGGAAGATTTGCATAACCCCGCCCAAATGTTCAAAGGCGGTGTAACTTTTATTCTCGCTGTAGCATTGTTGCTGCCGCCGCCGCCATGTTGTGAAGGTTTTAGGTTTACATGGCGCGATGCAACGCGCAAAAAGACAGTATAAGTCATTATAATCAGTAATTATGTCCCCACTGGATGCAACGAATGCCTGGTTTATAATGGGTTTTAATGTTTTTGTCTCGTCGCTCCGGCCGGACAGGGCAGCACAGTATGGTGAGGGGCGTAACATTTCCGTCACACGCTTGAGGTATTCGGCCAATCACAACACACTGGATAGCTGGCCAATCACAGCACACCTCGCTTTCAGACCGATGAGCTTTGTAAAAATCGACACGTTTCAGAAAGGCGGAGCATAGAGGAGAAACAATAATGTACAGTATGTGGAAAATACTTCTGAAGAGCTGTGACGTCTCGTTTCCAGAGACACTCGCAGCTGAAGCTCTGCTCACATTTGATGTTGAAGGAGGCGCTGGCGGAGCTCACGGTCTCTCCGGTGGAGCTGCTGGACGCCACACACTGGAAGCTGCCCGTGTCTGCGTGACGGTCCACCGCGGTGAACTTCAGGTTACTGCCCTCCTGAAAGCGCCGGTCCGAGTCGTCCACATGCCGGCCGTCCTGCGTCCACCAGAACCGCATGTCCACCGGGCCGCTGAGCTCACAGCGCAGGATTGCACTGCGGCCGTGTAACGCATCCTGAGACTGGGGCTCTTCGGAGAACTGAAGCGAAGACGCCTGGATGATGAAGACTGAGAGAAACACAGAGAGCCAGTCAAACTACTGAACAAAACACAGACACTTCAGACTCACAACAGACGAATGAATGTCTCCGACAAGACAAATCAAACAATGTAGAACCGAACAGCATGTTTGCATTCATTAATGATGCAGTGAGACGCGTGAGCTTCAGCACTGCCAACACAAACACAACCTTCTTCATCATCATCATCATCATCAGAAGCTCTGAGCTCATCTACAGACCTCATCACATCACATCATACATGCTGGGATACAGTGAGTTTGATTATGTGCTCAGTCTTACATCTACATATATTCATTCAGCACTTTTATCCAAGCAACTGGCAAATAAAGAAATATCACAAGTAATTTGTCAGAGAATCACAGCATTCATAAAACACAATGACAGGATTAGTAAACAAGCTAGAGCAGAGGAGAAATGCATTCTATAAATATATATAAACTATATAGACATTTAAAAACAACAAAAACTGATAAAAAAAAAACAAAAACAACAAAATTACTCAAACTTTACAGTTAATATGAAAGCAGAAAATATCAAAATAAAACATAATTAAAAATATTATAAAACTCAAAAAAAATATATTAGTATACCCGACTGCTTATTGATAGAGTTTTTCTGTGATGGCTTAAATCAACCTCTTAGGGCTAAGCTTAGACGCGAGGGTCCACGTTCATCACTCGCTCAGTTCATGGATTATGCTTTGTTGACGGTTGGATCTTTGTTTACTGTGGGTGTCGCGGAGGAAGAACGCGACAGTGTCTGTGACTAAGATGTCGGCTGTACCAGAGCACGCTCACAAGATGGCGGACACAACAGCATCTAGTCAGGTCA